TGCTGTGGGTTAAATGTGCTGGACTGTAAACTTGGTTTGACCTGCAAGATCGATGGTTCAAGCTCACTAGTTGCTTCTCAGAAACCCTATACAGGATCACTATAGGTCCGAACCAACTCGATGGCACTTAACAACAACAATGTATTTTTACTAATCTATTTTAATTTATATTTTTTTTGTCTGCCCTTAGTCAAGTATAGGTTCCATGAAGGTAGGAATCTAATTTTGACAATGATATACTCTTGGGGCTTGGAAACAAATGACTGGAACTTTGTAAGAGTACAATAAATAGTCATGAAAGAATCAATATTTGAGAGATCACTGATCAATAATTTTTTAAAAAATTCATCTGGATTTCATGTTGTACTAGGAGATGAATTTTATACCACAAACGGTATTATTAAGAAGGGCTTATAATAACACCTTTAACCATGGGAGGGCACCAGAGAAACTGATATAACAAATCATTCTTTGCATGACTTGCCATTTCTTCAACCGGTATACCTCAGAACACTGTTCTGTGGGATATTAAGAGGCAGTCTGTAGAAAGCAGCATGCTAACATGTTTTCTCAAAAGCAAGATGTGGTGGTGGTTATGTTCTGTGGATTCAGTTCTGACTCATAGTAACCCTGTACAGGGTTTCTGAGGCTGTGAATCTTTATGGGAGCAGAAAACCTCATCTTTCTCCCGTGGAACAGCTGGTAGTTTCGAACCGCTGACCAAGAGAGTAGCAGCCCGAATAGTAACCACTTCACTACCAGAGCTCCTTCAAAAACAATATAGCTATAATAAATATTTTAATTATCAGAGACTGGCAAAATATGCAGTTATCTTTCATTTGATTTCCCTTTGACTTACCCAGAAAATCCAAATTCTTTTATTGCATTTGATAACCAATTCAGAGTTTCAGATTGATTCTTGGGATTCTTCTGTGAGAAAGCCATTGACATAACCTGGAATGAGGGAAACCCAGTAACAATAACAGCGTGTTCTCTCTTACATTTCTCATAAACATATAGCATGGCAGTAAGGCAGATGTAGAATTCAGAATGGTTTTTCTGCCGTTAAAACGACTGCTGAAAAAGAGTAATCTGATACAATTTGATGAACTTGATCTACACCTATGGATGCAGTAGCTCAAAAGAGGGAACAAGTCTTTACAGCGAGGATCATTCCCATCCCCTCCACACACAGAGTAGACAGGGAGGGGCAACTTGGACATTGGCTACCCAAAGTGGAGGGGCTACAAAGGCAAGAAGTGACTGGCTTACAAGCTTTCAAGAGGGAACCTAGATCCAGAGGGTGCAGAGGAAGATAGAATCTCCACTGAATAGTATCCAATCTGTCTAGGCATGGCTGATGAAAGGAAATGCGGATAGGTCTCTTATGATACAATAGTGAATAACTGTTATCAGGACTGCTTGTGAGGGTTGGAAATGTAAAGGTAGACATTTTGTATCAAGGAAGGGAGTGATTAACTTTACAGTCTAGGAGCGGAGATCCCTGGGACCATCAAGGGAGAAGAGCAGAGAGCGGGGCCCTACCCAGAGAAGCAGTGACGCCAGAGATGGAGGCAGAGAAGATGACATGGGGAGATGGAGCAGCTGGGGACTTTAGACTCGGAGAGGGAGAGGCGCTGTGTGCTGAAGACTGGGGGTGGGGGGAGGCAGGCTTGCAAGGTATACCTTGGTTGCTTGATGATGCATGGAGGGAATTCTAACCATGGCAATGAAACAATACAGGATAGAATGAATGTAAAACTAATGTTCTCCCATGTAAACTACCACATAATTCACAATAAAACATTAAAATAAAATAAAAAATAACTGTTATGAGACACAGCTGTTGGCACCTAAGAGATGCACCGTTCTAAAAAAGGGAGTCTTTAGTGACAATGTGAGGCTCATTTTCCTGGGGCAGTCTCCCACTGGCCTCTTTCAAAATAAACAGCATTTCACTAGGGAAAAAAAACAACTGCCGACAATGCCTTAGGAATTGAAATTTAACTTTCCTAAGAAAAGGAGATCAGCGCCATTAGCATTGAAAGCACTCTGGACTGTTTCTATCACCTCATTAGTGAACACGGTGTGACTGTACTGTCACAAAAAAATTACTCTCATACTTTATGGAATGTTCTTCATTAAAAGAGAACAGTCTGTTACTGAAGGTTAAAATAAAACTGCAATATCAAAAAAGTTTTACCCGAGCAGATAAGAACTAGAGCTTAATCAGTAAGTCCATAGCCAGTAAATCACGAAGGAGAAAGTGGGGAAGCTTGGGCAAACAAGCTCTGCATCACTAACCTGTTCAGCTGTCCATGGTAACATACAAGCCTCTGCGATTGCTGTCATAGCTGCTTTTGCATTGTTACCACATTTCACATCTCCAATCTTGTCTACAAGGCCATCTAATACAACCTGAGCTGAAGTTCTGGAAAAGTTTCCCTTCTGGGCAATCAGAGCAACTATGTGAAGCTTCATCTGCATCACCTGAAAAGGACAAACAGCATAAAGTTATGGATGATTAAGCCAAAGTTAGTTACTTACTTACTTATTATTTTTAGTCAACATATTTCTTCCCTTGAAATTTTATTTATTTTGTTGTTACTGAATATATCCACAGCCAATACATACATCAATATATATATAAACCATTTGGTGATACTGGTTACATTCTTGGAGTTATACAACCATTACCCCCTTCCTTCTCTGAGCAGTTCATCCCTATAGTGATAAACTCACTGACCACTAAGGTTTCTTTCAATCTTTGGAGTTGCTATTCTTAATTAGATCCCATATAGATAGTTTTTAAAAATATAAAGCTCAAGGTAGACCTTTCTTTTACTAGTGAAGCTAAACTATTTGGTTTTAAGAAGTCTCCAGGGGGATATATTTTGGCTTAAGGTATAAAAATTATCTCAGGGCAATAGTTTCAGAGGTTTTATTTATTTTATGGCAACCTGAATGTAAAACAGTTAAAAACAGCTGAGAACAGAAGCAAACTAAAATCAGAATTTTAAAATAAATAATAAAAACCCAAAACCTAAAAGCGGAACAATATTTATCCTTTATTTGCTATCAATTAAAGTAGCTAAGAGTGAAATGAGAAAAAAAAAACACAAACCACTCAACGACTTTACACATGAAAAGCATAAATGTGATATATTATACTAATGGATTCAAGAAAAAACATTTGATCATCTCAATAGATGCAGAAAAGTAACTGACAAAATCCAACATCAATTTCTTATTCGTTGCATATATC